ATGTCTGTGATGCACTTCTTTGGCACTGGCAACATGTTCTGTGGTCATATTCACTTAGCCGTGGTCTATCAAAACATGATAATTCAGAGCCGTTGTAGTGAGTGTCTTGTGATCTCAGAGACCCTTGGAATAAAGTGAATAGAAATCTATGTCAGTAAGTGTTACCCTTTTTCCTGCTCAGAGCTCTCTTATCTTTACAAAATGTGTAATTTTCATGCTATAAAGTATGTTCATACATTTTTCAGTTGAAAGATCCATAGTGACCATGTGGCTTCCAATAACGTAAACTATGGATTTTGCAACAAAGCCTAGAACAGCTGGTTCAACTACAGCCTCTTCTAGGAAGACATCTGCTCGCATTTTGATGATTTGAGAGTATATCTTATTCACTGTTACATTTTTGCAGTGGTTAATGATTCTCAGTGATTCCCATCTGAAATTTTCCAGAGTCAGCTTTCAGCCACTGGGATTTTGTTTATATTATCTTAAAGAGCTTTATATTAACAGTAGACTACCTTTAATCTCTATAATTGTAGGCCAAGGGAAACAAGTTACTGCACTTCACTAAATGAAGTCTGAATTCACTGTGTCAGAATTTCTCAAAACTCATGTCTAAAGTAAATTCTAGGTTAGGAACAATTCTTACAATGCCTCTGTAAACTTCTGTAAATTTCTGCTTGTGCTGAGAGCAGCAGTAACGTCAATTCATCCTAGAGAGTGTTCTTGTTTGGCATCCAGGGTTCATTAGATGCTATAAACATATTTTAATAAAAGTTTTATAATGGGAATTAGGAGTGCTTTTCACTTTCTTCTTTCTTAATTTAAATTAAGAGGCAGAAAAATGTTTATTATAAACAAATTACATTGATGAGCTGTTAAGGATTTAAAATAAATTTACAAATCTGTCTCAGGCATTTAATTCATCTTGAATAGGCCCATAAAACCAAAACTGTTAAGGATAAATCTCTCATCTACACTGGCCATATTCATTATCTGGATGACCTAATCTGTATTTCACAATGGCATTTGATGCACTGAAATACCAAACTGGTATTTCCACATTGATATTGCAACTCTTTAATGTCCCATCATGAATAGTCCAAATGTATATGTGCAGCATCTAGCAGAGTATAGCATGGGATTGATGCAATTGGAGTATTTCTGGGCATTTACACAGCATTTTCTCAATAGCAGCTGAAACTCCCACACTGAGCTGGCAAACTTGGATGGAGTCCTGGGCTCTGCTACATTGACCATCTCAATGCTCAACTTGCTTAAAAGATGTAGACATGTAATTTCTTTATCACCAAGAAACAGGAAAAATTTGAAACTCACAGCTTGGTTTCTTCTCCATGAACTGCCTCTTGCAATAGATAACACAAAGGATGAGAAGAGCCAAGAGCACTGTTGCAAGCGCACTGCAGATAACAGCTGCCAGAGCAGTGTCTCGAGGGCTGGAAGCAGTTGAAGGGATCTTCACAAGATTCACCTTGGTAGTACCTGAAATATAATTAAGTAATAGTTAAGGCAAACTGCAGACATTTCCAGAAAATAATAATGTAAATGAAAGTCTGGGAAAAAGAGGCATGCGGCACAGGAAAAAAAAGAGAATGGTTTTTGAAAAAAGGAAAATGTATTTATTTGTGCAACATTAGTTGCACATATAGATAGATATGATCATCGGCACCTTCAGTATGAAAAGGAATCTTAGAAAAGATTGCAAAATGTGCCATAATGAGCGAAGATGCACACAAACACATTTAGACTGTCCATGAGAATGGAATCGATCCTCACCATGAAAACAAAGACATTTGAATGTTGAATGCCACATGAATTTAATATGGAGAACATTTCCTAGTGCAGAGTTGAGAGAGTGATCCACTAGAGGGAGGCACAAATACATGAACTTCCCTTAAGGAAACTTTTGGGCACTGAGACACCCACAGAAGTTCAAATGCTGTCAAAATTATCATCCAGCTTTGTTGCATATGTTATGTTACCATGGTCATTTCCAAGATCAAACCCAGAATTTCAACTCTGCAAACTCTTTTTCTTCAGTGATTTTTTTTTTCCCTAGATAATACCTCTAGTCAACATTCAACAGATCAACTTTATACCCAAATTAGTGAAGACTTAAGCAACGTTTCCAGCTACAAATGTTTTTATCTTTAAGTGGAAAGTGAAAAATACTTCTAAAGAATGAAAATTTTAACTACAACTGTTGAAACTGTCTTAAATTATGCACTTTAAAATTGAATTGTTTTTTAAGCAACCTATGAATTTTGACAGCCCATCTACTTCAATCTACTGTGAAGTCTTCCTAAATTCAATAAGAAAAAATGAATAAAACATAGAGTACTTCTATGACAGCAAAATTTTAAGAAACGACAAACCATATTTTACTAACTTTCAAAAATAAATTACTGTGCCTATTTATCCCAGAAGATATTTGGTTAAAACCTAAAGACTATAATCACCTAAGAAATAGTCCATGCAGTCATAAGTTTAAATTTTGAGATAAATGTCTGCCAGAGTATATTAAAACCTCTAATCAAATTGTACATAAATACAATTGTGCAATATCATTACTGCAATTTCATAATGTCAGAAGAGAACCTCCTAGCCTAGCTAGTGGAATTGTATTACTCAGGAATAATTTTCTGCAATAGTTGTGGTATTTCCTCTACACACATCAAACATCAACCAAAGAGGTTGTGATACCATATTGCTTTGTTATAATACCTATGGGGATTTACAAAACCTAGGAATTTTGAAAAATTGGCTTAATTCTAAGACTTTAGACCACTTAATGCCAAAGAAAACACTCTATTCTATGAAATAAAGAATCCAGAAAATTAAAGAAATAACCCACTAAATGTATTAAATAAAAACAGTTTTTGCAGCTTATAGTATCATGTAGTTGCTAGTAAATAGGGTAATATAAAAAGGTGGAGAGATCAGATCATGGCCATTATACAGAAGAAAGAAAGTTTCGTTGTTCATTTCCTGATTTCAGCATGAAGAGAAACAAGTGTTACTGCATTTACATTTGCTTAAATTTTTCCATTTACATTCAATTTGTACTATTATGTTCCACTGTCACATCAAAATCTGAAGAGCAAATTCATAGCAGATCTTTTTTACATGCTTTCAACTTGCCAAATTGTAGAGTGGAGCAACTGGAGAAAGTACAACAGAGAAGCCACAAAAATGACTGAGGAACTGGAGATTCTCTCTCCTTTGATCAAAGTTTGAGAGAGCTGGGATGGCTCAAGCTCAAGAAGGCTCAGGGGAACCTCATCAGTTTGTAGAAATCCTTGGAGGGAATGTGCAGAGAGGACAGAGCCATGCTTATTTCTCAGTCATAGCTAAGTTCTATGGCCTCTTTTCCAAATCTCCAATGTCATTTTTAAAGAAAATGCAATAAGTGTCATAATTATTTTGTCATAACTTGAATGCTCTTGGCAGGAGCACCTCAATCTCCCACAGAAAAAAACTTTTCATTCAGTTTCTAGGATTCTTGCAGCTGTAATTTTAAGTTTATAGTTTTAGCAGACTGAAGAAATTTCTGCATGAAGTTCCAGGATATCTGTGAGAAGCAGTAAATATATATAAAATCCTTTCTATATAGCAAGGTGTGCTGGCTTTAGTGTGAAGATCCGACTGTGCTTTGGTATCAGGTTTTCAATTTTAGTTAACTGCCGGATCTAGTCTTTAGAAGGTTAAAGATAGACTGGACAATTATTTAAAAAACAGACAATAAAAAAACTGATCTGAACATCTTCAAATATTTTTTTATATCAATACATCTATTTGTATTAATGTACTTAAGAGCACTAAACAGTTCTTCACAATTTGCAGAAAAAAATTATCAATTTTGAAGGGAAAAAAGAAAAAGAGCACAGGAGATGAAGCTTCTATATTTTTGTCTCTATTCATTTGCTTACAAAATACATCTATTTTCAAGTATGGTTACATATTATGTATTCTAGGAAAATATAAATTATATATTTCTTTAAGGTCCATCAGCAATATTCAAACTGGAAATACAGTGATTTCATTTTAAATAGGGATGGCAAAACTTATTTTTTTTTTAGCCACCTAGCTATTTAAGATTTATTTTGTTGATTTTTTTTTTCACTTGAGAAAGCAATTTTCTATTCCTGAGAATGCCTACCACTCATCTTCACCTTCAAAGAACTTCTTGGAATAGCTACTCTGAGCAGTACATTGTAGTCTAGCTCTAATTATAATGATAGAGATCTTCCCTGCAGAGACCAACATTTTAGAAGCAGATTGCTATTGTAGAAGTGGCCCGTTGGGCATTGCTGAACTCTGCTTTCAGTGTTACTCAGACATGTATTCATTTTCATAAACTCTTTTCACAGAATTAATGGTCCCACTTCAGTAAAGCAAGGAGTTGCATTTTAAATTTAAACTTGTACTTACATCTATTAGATGGTTACATGATTAAATTTAAATATGCAATTAAACACTTTGTGAACTGGATGGGATATATTCGGAAAGGAGGGAGGAGGTGTACACTGTTTTCTGATTGTGGAAGGCATGTGCATATTATCCATATTATATTCAAGAAATTGATTTCCTTTTTTAAGACTTAGTTCTAACATATTCTGAAAATGTGCTAATGTTGAAGGAGAATTACCCAAATACCAAAGTGTCTCCTGCATAATTTTAGCAGTAAACCTAAATACACATTCTTTCCTTAATTTACCAATATTACATTATAATGGCAGTATATGCAGAGGTGTGGTCCTTAAAAGAAAGTAAAGTTTCTGTGAATCCAAGACAGTTCAACAGCAGTAACTCTAATATGGAACACATGAATCCCAGCTGTATCACTAAAATTTCTGCCAATAAACAGAATAGCTGAATTTTCTGCCTGTTATACCAAACAACAAGAGACAGGGCAAAATGTAAAAAATACTTCCTTTGCCACTGATTTTATGTTTATTTTCTCCAACTTTTTTCTTTTTCAGAACCATGATTAATTACAGTTGCTACTGGAATCAGCAAGCCTAAAAGAAAGCTTTTTGTGGTAGATCAACCATGTGAAAAACACTGTATGTTTCTTCCATGGATACAGGAAACATATACTAACTAGTAAAGCTGAGGAGAATAAAATGTAGAATATTATGTTTGGGTTTCTTTCTTAACATGTCAAGTCAATGCTAACAAGAAGAGAGTTTACTCAAAATAATAAAGCTAATCCAAACTGCGCTTAAAAGCAGTAACATGGTAACATTGTACAGAGTGCCATCTGTTACTATCAGGATAGGAAGTAAGATGCAAAGGTTAAAATGTTTTTATTCCTGGAATATGGGTATTCCGGGTCAACAGGAAAAAGAATATTTGCCTATTACAAAAACTGTTTTCCCATGACCTTTACGTTGAATGGCCCAACTCAGTGGTATCAACCTTAATTTGACAAGAATTAAGGGCTCAGACATACCGTCAAGTTATGTAATTTTACAAGTTGCTGCCTGTCAGCTGCACTGCAGTGGCTATCTGTGTGTGTCTGTGTGTGTGCCCTTGATCCATGGAAAAGGCAAGCCAATGTAAGGCCATGTGGCTCACTTTGAAATTCCTCCGTTTAAAAAAAAAAAAAAAAAAAAAAAAAAAAAAAAAAAAAAGAAGACGAAGTAAAGATGTTTATATTCATGTAAAAGTAAGAAGGCAGTATGTTTACCTATTCCCAAATAAGCAAAAGGATGTATTCTATATCCTTATATATTATATAGACAATTCAGATACTACATGTACATGATCTGTATATATAGATTAAATATGTATATTTTATATACTACTGAGCATCAACATAAATGGAAAGCAAGTTTCTCTGAATATATCTTTGAGTCTTTACAAAGCAGCAGATTGGCTCCCTTCTCCTGATCTTTCAAGTAGGAGGTAAGAAACTTTATTAAACATTACTGTTGGAGACTGTGGTAAACACTGGGGACAAAGTCTCCCAACATCTGTAAAAAGACAGCCTTTTGCATGCACGGCCTACACCCAAAAGTTCATCATGTCAAACCACATTTTTCAAATGTGCTCCAAGTGCTGACTATAATTTTGTTCTTTTAGTTTGTTTTATTTTGCTGGGTTTGTTATTTTTTTAATAAATGTACCAAAAAGCCCTAGGGGAGAAAATGACTATTCAAGTATTTATCCATTGTTTGGAAATTCTGAGAAATATGCTTATAAATTAAAATCTTTGAAATTTGATTTATTCATTTCCAAGACCATTTCTCTTGCACTGTGTATTTTCACGAACTCCAGCTGCTGACAGCCTTTTATGTTTAAAATAGTAGAACAATTGCACTGTGTATGTGAATTTAAAATATATGTGAACTCCACAGTACTGGATACACACCACAATGTCTGTAAGGCATAGTCAACCTCTGCTATACATTTTTCTTTTAGCAATTCAGAGATGTGAAATCTTGGTATTACCACGGTGATCTAAATCGAGCCACTGTACAGGCACAAAAGTAACATTGTTTCATACACAAAACTTCCAACTTCAAGAATTGTCTAGTCATGTGAATATAAAAGCCCATGAGAGTAACAGCTCAGACCACTGCTACCCTCAAATAACCTGAAAACACCCAAGAGTAAGCAAAAAAATACTCAGAGGAAGTGGGATGAAATCCTGTCACCACTGAACTACACATTCTACCCTCCAACATAACTGGTTATTAATAAGAAAAGACAGATCTCTCCTCCATAACCTGGAAACACCCAGTGTGATCTGATGGCACCAAGTCTGTCTTGCTGTTGATGACTGTGGTGGTGTCAACAATTTCCTTTCTGACTTTTGCTTCTAGAAGCCAACTTTACATCGCTGACAGTTGAGGGTGGGCAACACCTATTTTCTTGAAAATTTAACTTCTTTTTTAGGTGTTTTCACGTGTTAAAAAAATGTCCCATAAAGCTTATGTCAGAACATATGAGATTGCTAGATACAGCAGAAAATCTATTTTCTTACATCACCTCTAACTTGTACTTTTAACCACATTCTTCGCAATATATGTTCTGTGAAACAGAACACACTATTTTAGGCTGTTCTCTTGTTCAAATCCAACTCTAGAATTTATCCATCCCACACAGGCTATGAAAGCTGTTTCATCTTTTCAACAGAAAATGAAAGCATGAAGTATCTTTTTGTATTTTTGTACTTGGTATTCTGTATATGCAGCCCTATTTAATCTTTAGGACTATCCAGTTAGAAAACAAAAACATCCCTGTGCAGAATTTGAGTCAGTTTGGTCTGTTTATGACAGTTTCTGCTCTATTCAGTCTCTGTATACACTCTGTTACTCTCAGTCCCAAAACACATAGACAGGACACTGCCCACATAAGCCGAGGTGGAGTATGCATTGCTGAAATGCAAACCATGTTCATGGGAGCAACTACTGCCATCACCCGTTTGCTAAGGGAGGAGATGGGGACCATGAGCCCTTCAGAATCTACCTGTATATTCACAGTTAAATGACAATGGCACGCATGTAAACAGAAGAGTAAGCATGTCTGAAGGTTGTCTCTTTAGCCAATAAAGAATAACCCACTTTCATTAATCAAAAGTGTAATTGAAGATTGTGAATCCCATGCATACAGGTTACAGATCTGTGACAAAAGGTTCAAACAAGCTCTTAAAGCTGCTGTGTAACAAGGTTGGATTGGTGCATAGATTGGTTTTCAGTAGATTGAAATGCTAGTGTGGAAAGCTCTGTCCTGTGACCATGACTGAGGGCTGGTAGAGCAGCTAAGCCTGCCCCTAGGCAGGGAACATAACAGGCTCTTCCATATCTATCTTCTATGTAGTTATTTGTAGAAATCCCAGTAAAGCAAAAAATTACATGTAAATCAGTCATAAAAGAGTTTTTGTCCCTCTCTGATTCCACAAGAAGTAATTTCTAACACTTTACTTTCTATCCCAAATATTTCCCTCATCCTGGTTCAGCTGTGGTAACACCCAGTGAGTAAAGCAAAAGATTTCATAATGATTGCAAGCCTGTGCCCTAAGTTTGTTGACACAAATTTACATGAGCATCACTATGCAATATATATTGCACATGTCTATGCAATACACTTTCAAGAACTATGGCTTTTGTCCTTGCTTTAAAAATGCTTTGTAAAGGTAACAGTACTCAAGCTACATCACTTCTGTTTGCAAGCTGTTCTGTCAGCAGAATAACAGAGTATACTGTGATACAATTAATTCATAAAGTTTCTAAAGCTTTAGAAAATAGTGATTTTATATTAAAAAACAAATATATGAATAGGTGATACATTAAGAAAAATATTGAATTGAATATGAAATTCGGTGCAGGAATAATTTCCGTATTTTGGTCAAAAAGCAGCTTCTTGAATTGGCCAAATAACTTATCTTGTCCAGAGAGCTAGATGTTTCAGCAGCTACCAGAAAATTCAATAAAGTTTTAGTGCCTTTCCATTGTTGCCTCCTGACCTAAAATTAAAATCTGAAATAACTGAGAAAGGAAAATGAAATCTTGACAGTTAGAAACATCTTCACTCTTCAAACTCTCTATAATGTACTAATATTTTTTGTTACTAAATATGAAAAATAGAAATGCTAAGGAAATTCTTCCAAGTATTAGAAATCCCATGCAGAAAGAGCCTAGTTATTAGATGTGATCAACAAAAAATCAGTACTCAAAAGAGATCTGGAAATACATATGTGTGTGCAAGCATGTTCAACACTGGACTATTTATTACATTAAAATTTAAAAAGGTTATTTACAAATTGAGAGAATATATGAGAAATAAAATACAGAAGACTCACAACTTTCAGATTGCAGATAATTCAGGGTAATCTAAAAATCAATACACATAAAATATTGATGCCATTGTATTTTGGTATCCATTTTGAAAAGTGACAAAGGGACAAGGCCTAAGTATGCAAAAATTAAGCTGTAAAATCTGTTATTTTAAAATACAAATCTATCTGGGAAGCTAAAGGCCTCTATTAGGTCACATACTTCCTATACAGTGTGAAGAAAAGGTTAAATACAGAAGAGAATCTGAAATATCTGTCATATGAGTAACACAGTTCCTTATGTCATCATGCTCAGCCTATAGATACAGAAACCTAGAGAAGGATAATGTACTTTGCTCTTCCCATAAATTACTCAGAGGCAGAGAGGAGCCTCCACTTCTCTTAAAACTCTATGGGGAAAAAGAATCTATGATCTTATTTTAAAATTAAATTAAGAGACAAATCAGAAGCATGGCTTTATAATGCCTTTCAGATGCAACTTTTGAAAGAGGAGGTAATGGAGTTTCTGCCTGCTGAGAAAGCTTAAGAGCTCTTTGCCAAAATGTATGAAATGAAGACTCTCCTACCACCTTCATGGAGATTGTTTTAGCCACTAGGCTAGAAGCTGAGCTAGGTAAAATCTTATTTCTCCTCTCCAGTTGAATTTGCCCAGTTATAAAGCTTTGGCAGAAGGAGTAAGGGCCCCTCTTTGCACAGCCGACAGTCACGGGATATGTAGACTGGAACAAAATTAAATAAACTAGACTTAGGCTTGCTCAGCACGTATATTTTTCCTGTTTACAATTATGTTTAAATATCACTAAGTTACCTTAAATTCTCCACACAAGGCACATGTTGGGGAGAGAAATAAGTCTGCACTAGGGAAAACAAAAAGTATGTTTATGTAATTAAGACAGTTTCATAATACACTCTGCTGAGCTGAGTTACAATTCTGAATTAAGGTTAAGAGTTGCATAACCAATGCTACTAGTATTTTTCAAGTTTTTAACTTTGCAATTCCAAGATCTTTTAAACCCACTTTTTTTAGGGGGCTAAGTAACACGAAATACATGGAATTAAATATAAATTTTCAGAATTCTTGTAACATAGAGGTTAACACCTTTAGAAGTTGGCCATGCATCCCCAGCTTGTTGTATTACTGCAGAAATCATAAATGGTGTTATTTACTGCAAAGAAATTACCTACAGTGCATCACTGCGCATGCACATGCAAACTGTATTACAAATGAAAAAGCTGTAGCTTTCACATCAGAAAGCAGTTATTAATTCACCACTTAAAGCTGTGGGGATAAAGTCAAGTTATACAGAACAAAAAGCTGCTACGTACCAGATCCTTGCTTTATTACATTACTTAATCTGAAACATAATATCTTCCCTCCTTAACAGAAGTCAGTAGGAAGTAGCCATAGAATACAGAAGACATTCTGAAAGGTTATCTTTGAAAAGTCAAGCTCTGCAAGTGAGATTCATCTGACCAAAGCAAAGATCTGCTTTGCAGGGAATCACCTGAATTTTCTCTACAGGGGATGGGGAGGGCTGGAGGAGTGTGTGGGTACGAGAAAGGCTCTTTTAGGGTGTAATTAGTCTGATTTGTTTTAAACACCACCCTTGATCTCTACATTGAGTATAGAGTGAACTTCAGATCACCAGCTCAGAGATGTCGTCATTGTACATACTCACAGTCAAGAACGTGGCATCCTAGTCTAGTTTTGTCAAGAATCAGTGAAGGGTTTTGAGGGCCTTTGACTTCCTCTGTTTCAGTTTGTTAACAGATATTAAACATTTTTATACCTCTTCCATTGTAAAGATAAAAGTCAGTCACAACTGCAAAATCTGCAACAATTTTACAGTAGCAGAACACCAGAAAAGTCCAGCATTACTTAATATCTCACATTCTGCATGGAATATAAAAGAGTGTGTAGGAAATAAAGTGAGACTTACGGAATTTTAGGTTTTGCCTATCCTGTGCTTTAAATGAACAAAGGCCTAGTGGGAAATAATATGCAACTATGTAAATACAACCTGTATTAGAGTAACTATATATGAGGGAATCTCATGGTTGCAGGCCTCAATTCTGGCATATTCTAACTTTAGCAAGTTCTCTTAGAATGTGGGCTTTGGTTTGTAAGAGACATTTTATCAAAAGTAAAAAAGATATTTTTCTAAATTTTTTATTTGCATTTTTACTTATATAGCAGGAGTGAAAAAATTACACTAAAAAGTAATTTTCCTCTTTAAAATTAATTAAACAGAAAAAATAGTAAGAGCAGGTTTTAGGGAGATAAACACAATTATTGACTATTGAAATGCAGTTCTCATCTAATCTGATATTGGCATCTAGATGAAATTCATAACTATAGAAGTCTGAAGACAAAGCCAGATCCAGCTAGTCACCTTAGGCTCTCTCTCTAAACAAAGCCAGGAACAGAATCTCCTGAGAGCACTTATTCTGAAAAGGCCTGAAAGACTGCTTAGTGTTAGTCACTGAAGCTTACCTTATCTGGCTTGCCTGAGCTCTTGAGGTACCTAACTGGGAGCTTGGGCTGGCAGCTTCAGTGCCAAGCATTAACTTTTAAATGCCCAAATTAGGGTGCACTAATTTTATGTTAAATTTCCACATGCAGACAGGGCAACTACAAATCACATCCAGTAATATGCACATAGAATCATACCACTGGACTGAAATGAAACTTTACTAAAACTGGTGGACACAACCCTTTAGTTAGAAAAGCTCTGACAAAGAGCTCATGCTTTTAGGAAATAGTCACGGACTATACCTCAAAGGCACATGTCACTGCCCAAAATAACAAGTGAGATTATTTTATGATCTCTGTAAAAGAGGAGTTTGGCAGTACACTGCTTTAGCACAAGTGAACCAGTAAGAGTGAGAATGTGTGAGGTCTATCACCCAAAAAAATTAAAGGTGAGCAAAGTAGAGGACAATAATTTGAAGGATCCAAGTGATCTGTAGGAGCATTATGCCCTTCTATAAGGCTGCTCCAAGCTCATGAGGTGTAGAGCTTTATATGAGGTTTATAATGAGTCATTATTGCTAAAGTCCTCAGCACCCAACTCTTGTTATAAGGCTATTGCATTTTTTCCTATTTCCAATACATTCCAGTCCTCCAGGCAATTCCAGTCCTCTGGTGTGGTATTTCAGTGTTCTTTTGCTTGACAATGATTTTCTCAATAGAGAGTTGGCAGTATGGAAAGTTTGAGCCTAGATGGATTCCATGTTTTCTTCTGTATTTTCTTAAAAACAAGAAATTTAAGTGTAACACAGCCAAAGAATTTTGTAGCTGAGCAACTTAGAATCATTGAATCCTTAGAAGTTGAGAAGGACCTTCAAGATCATCAAGTCAAATAGTACCTACCAGCACCAAGTAGAATAAAAGCTCCAACACACTACTGTACACTTGTTTAGTAGTATTTTATATTCACATGCCAGTCACAGCTTGGACTCTGTACCCAAAGTCACAGCAGTCAGCATGGATTTATACCAGAGGTACCAAAACTCAGTGCTTCTGAAGTTGTGCTAATGTAAACATTCCCTTTGTGATTATGAGAGATAAATTTGAAACAGTATTTTCAGTCTGAATGCAGTTTAAAAGCATGTTATTAAATTAATATATTTTAAACAGTCTAACGCTTCTGTAATTAGAAATTGTCTAAAAAATACTGAAAAGCTGTAACATTTACTTTTTTTCAGATTGCCCCTAAAAACAATAAAGTAAAAGTTAACTGAAATAAATGTTTTGCAACTTTACTGCAATGCATGCAATCTTGTAATAATTTTGAATAACCTAATGGCCAAGTTAAATAAGAACCTTGCAAATCCACTCCATACAGAAAATAAGTAATTGCTTATAGCTACTGCAAGCCTGGGCTGAAGGACTACCCACATTAGTAAGTGCACATAAGAAAAAAACCATAGGAAATAGTACTTATTCACTACAGGTCACAGATTAGCCCCTTCTCTGTAACTCAGGAATTTCAAGCTCACTTTAATCTAGTGTAATTGAGCTAACCAGCTCTTACATTAAAAAGTAATGATTAAGTTAAATTTCTTGCAGACTTTCTGTACCTAAAACAAACATGCAGTATGCCTCTGGCAAAGAAGGATACTAATTATAGGATTGACTCATAAGATGAAAGGTTGCACAAGTTACTACTAGAAACTGAAGTATGGTAAGCTGCTTTGAAAAAACACATTGAAATTCTCAGTCTGCAGTTGAGAATTTAATGTTCTAACTGTACTTAGCAGTGTCAGGAAACAAAACTAAATATGCTTGCAAACATCTTGTTCATATTTTAGATGAAAAAGCTAGAAGTTAATAGTCATTACTCCATCATTCTGTAATAAGGATTTTTAAAATGTAATAAAGAAGTGAGCTCTACAGTGAGCTTTTATTACATGAAAGCATGCAAAATTAAGTATTTTTGGTCATACTTAGCTTTCTTTTTTTATACAAAACATGGTCTTACAATGGGTATTCAAGAATTCATTGCTTGACTTCACTCTTAATGCAACAATTCCCTAATTTAACAGGAACCATAAAAGAAACACATCTCCAAGGCTTCAGACATCTCTGGGAAAGGATGTGCAAGTTCAAAAGTAATTTTGCATTTCCAGCTGCAGCTTTCACTGGGATTAGCAGATAGAATTGCCAGCTGTGAGTTAGAACAAAGATACAAAATATGCCCTTATGTGTTGCCATGAACTGATCAGATAAAACCTTCTGAACGCCAGATGGGTACTGCTTGTGTGAACTCCTATTATCAGCTGCATGAGCTTGTGATGTGAATTCATTAAATAAATGAAATTTGATTCAATTTATTTTAAAAGCCATATGTTGACATTTCTACTTTCATTTTAAGATATACACTTTCCATCATATTCTAGCATGAAACAAGGAATGTCTTTTCAAAGAACACTGTGGAATACTGTGCCCTCTCCAAAATACATTAATACATGTCTTGGTAGATAAAAATGGATTACATATAATTAGTGCAATTCTCCTGCTGAAACTAGACAGTCAAGGCCACTCTGAGAAATTCAGCTTGGTCAAACTTCATGTCAACTTCATCTACTTTAAGTTTTACTGGATTATGACCATATATATTTTCCATATTACATTTCCAGAGATTATGAACAAGTAATTTTTCAAAAAGACATTTCTATTCCTAATTTATTCTACTACTTCCATCTGTATTTTGGAGCCATTTACATTATACTTGCTCATTCTGAAATAATTTTGTATATTGTAACACCTTACTAAGTAGGGACTGCTAATACTAATCTAGATTTTATATTAGATAGATGGTTTTCTTAAAGTTTCAAACTTTAGTATTAAAAAATTTCTGTTCTTTCCCCCAGTCACCATAAATGAGCAGTTTCAAGAGGTTCAGAAATTATAATTTGTTTTCCATTATTTTCTTTTTTGTACATTTTCTGCCACCAACAAATGTGGCAGGAGTTTATGCCACAACCTTCTTATCTCAGTAAGTGCATTAATGTGGGTCTCTCTTCACTACTCATTAATTTGTTTTTGTAAAATCTGAAAATTATTTGTCTAAGATCTCTGTTACTCTGTCAGCACAGACAGAAGATAGTAATTGTGGTCAAAAGGGTTAAAAAGAGATAAATGACAACAATATAGATACACTGTGTTCACCTAGGAAAGCAAACTGAAAAAACCCACAATTCTATTCTTATCATGTATCTTTAAAAGTTTACAATAACACTTAAATTTACAGTTCTGAAATTATTTTTAGCAGGCAAAAATGACAACTGTCACACCTATGGGCCACGGGCAACATTCGCCATGCTTAAATACATAATCGTTAAAAGCAATGGAAGGCAAATTCCCTGGTCTCAGAAACCTAGCCTGGCAAGGAAGGGAAAAACAGTTTTCCCCAAAGAAAACAAAACTGGCAGGAAGAAAAATTCTTGTACAGATCCAGAGATTAGTGTGATGCAGGCATTAAAGAAATGATCCACGTCCTCAATAACAACCACCAAGTGCTCTGATAGATGTTCAATCAACAAAGCCAACTCAGTTCTTAAGTCAGAACTTAAAAGAGTGATGTAGAATGACAGGAGATGACTGAGCAAGAAAGCCTTTGTAACTGCAGCAGTATCTGTGAGAGACAATCAGCACTAGTGTGGGACACAAGCTCATCCAGTTCTGGAAGAGAAAACCTTATGGCTGCATCCCACTTGTGTTACATCACAAGCCTGTACAAAGTAACAGCAGGAAAGGACTAGGAAAGAACTAGGCTTTTCCAGTTTGGTATTTTCCCTCTGTTGCACAAGCTACAGCATTCTTTCATATATAGAAGGCCTTCAGTATGGAACTTTTTACCTATATTTTGATCCAGAAGAATGTGTCACAATCCATATCACACAGCCCTAATTACAGAAACCTGTGTGAAATCAATCTAACAAACCATGTTTTGTCAAAAGAAAAATCACATATTATAATTACCATATGTAGTTAAAGGAAAGGTTTAACAACTTTCTGGGAAATTGACACACAGAAAAGGTGGATACAAAGCAAGTTCTCCAAAGCCTCCAGAAAGAAATACTACCAATACTCATGCATTAAAATCCAAATTGTGTTTGACTTTGTACTTCTACTGTAAACTACATTACTGAACCATACCCTGGTCTTGCATACTCCACAGAAATATTTATTTGTGTATCAAGGATATTTTGTCTTTTTATGCAGAAAATATTTGCATTTCAGAAGCGTAAATACAATTATAATGATGGAAAGACATGAGGACAATACATTTCTGAATTAAAAGGGGCTAAACCCACACCAGTTAACACAGAAGAGTGTCTTCTAGTGATGCTTTTGTGTAGATTCATTCCCTGATGTAGAGGATTACTCATTATAGTGCATGAAGCAATGCATTAAACCTTTGCAAAGCCTCTACAGTGTCATATTCAGCTTTTTAAGTTTCCATTGAATATTATCAACAGACCTCCTTTATGACTTTCTGTCAGTTTCAATGCATCTAATAATATGTAGTAACAATCAAAACAGAGGTCTGCCCACTATTTGAGATTAAAGAGCAGAATAATTGAAAGTCTGACCCAATCTCCTGTACTTTACACACATAAAGCAGGAAGTAAGGAATAGAGTTGAGTAGTCAGATAATAATTTAAATGGAAATTCACTAATTTATAGCCTGAACTTTACTTCAAAAACACAACTCAAATTCTTAACTGTTTGAACAATTTGTAGTCAAAAAAAGAACATTCTTATTGGTATACTTTCATCAGGATATCCAAACAGGAAACAGAGCAGATATGCTTTTCCCCTCATTTTGAAAAGCTGCGAGTAGTAAATTAGATTCTATTATTTAACCACGACTGGGTTGCAGTCAGAATGTGAAAATTATAAACAGTGTAATTATCTCAGCAAGCGATCTTAGAGCCATTGAGCTGTATTGTAACTTGCTAATTTGAGAAGTCATGAAACCAGGATCACAAACAGGCCCAGGCCCTGCAGTGCCAAGCAGGCAACACCTGGGCTGCATCCTCAGTGCTGGGAACACACCTGGGACAGAACACACTGGTGATGCAAGAACCAACGAGTAACGGTGCGGAGCAACACACGGTCGGTACACAAGATAAGGGAAGAGTTCTGCACTCAAAGAAGTCACCAAGAAAAGGACACACAGCCATTATCCCAACCTGCTCTGCTGAGTTTGCCATCGGAAGGCACCACAGAGCAGAGTGTTCAGAGACGAGCAACAGAGCAATTAGCTCGTAGATCCTCATGGCTTCGGTGGCAACTCTGTGCATAACCGCTCAGTATTGAAAAACTCTTTGGATGACCACTGAAGGGTGCAGCGAAATTTGGAGGTGCCTCCTTAAATTCCAATTCCATTACCTCTTGGATCAGCTGTGATAGAGAAAGGGGTCTGTATTGTCCAGCTATATACCTGTTTAGAGCATCCTGCCCAGTCCATGCTTCCTTCCAGGGCAGTCACAGCAAAGCAGATCAATCAAACCTTTTGGCCTAAACTAAAGCTGCAATGTGTCCAAGCCTCCTGGACCTAGAATTTGTGGAATACTCCTGGAGACCAAATGAAATGTTGTAGGTCCCTTGGGCTTTTAAATGTTTGCACAGTTAGGTAGCGCTGAAGCAGGACAGCTGGTGATGCAGTTTTGGAGCCAGAAACCTGAGTCTATTTGAATATTGACACGTGGCATACCTCTAGATACTTGACAGGGCTAACGTTATCTATACTGAGATACCCCTAAAGCATTTGCTACTAGCCTAGTTCTTTCAGTTTCTAGCTTGAACTGAGCTACTTGAAACACACTCCATGAAATGAAATGTCACTGTGCAAAGAAATCTACATTAGACTTTAGGTACTAGGCACAAAATAAGGACCCTGCTTACTGTCATTGTAAGAGCATCAAAGAAGATCAAGAAATTTCAAACACTCATTATTTGAGGTTACTGTAGACTTTCAAATAGAGCAGACATACTATACTAAGTACTTCCATTCTACAGATGTTGCTAGTAAGTGAATCAATTAATTGGAAGAGCCCTCATACCTACAGTTTTGCAGAATTAAGCTGTAATAGATGTGATTAGAAATCTTTCTGAGAAAACAAATTTTCCACTGTAAAAACAAACTGAATGGTAGAAAACATTTAAAGATAGTGCAAAAAAGTGGGCAGAATATGCTCGCAGTCCTCCAAGCAATTCAACAGTTTAAACTGA